GAAAATTGTCGAGATAGTTGATTGATTTGAACCTACATAGAAACTAGATTGTGATGCCCAGTGCATCTAAGCTTCCGCTATTCATCATGCGTGTTGAAGCTTGAAACTGCTTGACATATTATTAAGACCTCTCTGTTACACTAATGCCATTTTATACACCCAGCTACTCTATCAGACTCGCACCAGACCGTAGAATAGAGTCCATGTTAGGATAAAGCCCGGGAGTCCGTTGAATATCCCACTTGTCCAAAAATCGAAAGCGCTGGTAAAATATCGTCCTGTACTTAGAAGTGGCCGACCTTCTTCCAATGACTCTGGTGCAACCTGAAGACCATAGAACATCAATGAGGTCACGACTGACAAAACTATGTAGACGAGGAAGCCGTTATAGGACTCGAGGCCAAGGATACCGGTGGCAACGCCGAATAATGACGCGGTGAGGCTTTGTAGATTGGACAGAACCTGATTTGTGAGGTATTAGGGAACACAACCCACAACAAAGGACTATGTGGGCGGCTAAGTCCATACCTTGGTGTTGTGGACTACTGAGTCCGGGACAATAGGGTGGATTTGATACTCCTGTTCTGAGGGCATCGTACTCGTGGCCCTTCGGCTGCAGATCTTGTGGTCGCGTGTTGTCCGACACCTGCATCAAGGTGAAAGGCCCCAAATTTAGATGTTATGCGAGGTCGAATCAGAATCGGCAATAAGTGGTAGGTAGCTATGCGAATCAACATATATTGGCTGTATCGTGAACCCTTCGCTTAGCAGATTCGCATCGAGTACTCCGTAATGAGCATCCATCTAGTGTTGACATTCCTAGAAAATGGCCGGGCCGAAAAGCTCCGTTGTGAGGCGCGGCAGTCGGGTGTCATCAACGCCGATAAGCTAGCTGCCCCTCGTTAACAGGTTAAGGGCTGGTGGGGTGACTTGCATCTTTCATTGCCTCCGCAATTGCGATTTGTTGGAAGCTCCTGTCACAATGGAACATTCCTTTGAGCCATTGAAGAACGATCTTTTACTCCGGGCAGCATGGGGTAGGCAAGTGTCATTATGCGAATATGTGAAGGCAATATTGACGACGTAATGTGTAGGCCAAGAGGTTGAACGCCCACCAATGTGGGTGATGCGGCAAGGTCAGTACCGGCAGTCTTTGAGCACTACCACCCGCGGCAAATCATGCTACGAAAATTGATTCACTGATAAAGAATTATAGCTGGCCGTTATCTTCCCGAATACCATGAAGCGAAAGGAAATCGCGATTTCTTCGAGTGCTGCCGGGATCCGGAGATTGCGTCGACGCTAACCCTTCAACCGGTTGAACGTTTTGCTGGATTACTGGATGCCGCAATTATTTTCTCGGACATTCTAGTCATTCCACAGGCAATGGGAATGGAGGTCGAGATGGTAGACAAGAAAGGCCCACACTTTCCTAATCCATTGAAGACTCCCAAGGATGGCCAATATGACCAAGTTCTCAACAGAGACGTGCAGGTGGCAAAAGAGTTAGACTACGTCTACAAAGCCATTACACTTACGAGAAAGAAAATCGCTGGGAGAGTACCTCTGATTGGTTTCTGCGGTGCTCCTTGGACTCTCTTTTGCTACATGGTTGAAGGTGGTGGCACTAAACTGTTTGCTCACAGCAAAACTTGGATATACAAATACCCCGAGGAAAGCAAGAGGCTTCTTTCAAAGATTGCAGATATATGCGTGGATCATCTGGCCCGTCAAGTAGAGGCTGGTGCACAGGTATGATAAAAGCCGACGGGGCACGGCCGCTCTTGTTGAACTCCGCCATTAATAGCTGAATTCCTCTCATGGACTAACATCTTGCCTTCTTCTTTGCTCAGATGGTCATGGTATTCGACTCTTGGGCTGGAGAGCTGTCTCCATCGTCGTTCCGCGAGTTCTCCGAGCCTTACCTGTCACACATTGCACAGAAGCTCCCGAGCAAGCTGAAGAGCTTGGGACTGGATCGTGTTCCTATGACCGTCTTTCCTAAGGGTGCATGGTATGCCTTGGACTCTGTATGCAATCTAGGATACAACGTTGTGGGCATGGACTGGCTCCAAGACCCTGTAGCGGCTCTCAGGATTCGCGGATCACGCAATGTAGTCTTCCAGGGCAACGCTGACCCTGGTGTCTTGTATGGAACTAAGGAAGCGATAACACTGGCTGTGGAACAAATGGTCAAAGGATTTTGGGTCGACAAGAAGGGCTGGATTGCTAACTTAGGACACGGTATGGCACAAGCAGAAACTAATAACCTATGTTGGCCGTCTGATCTGCGCATAGCTAACCATATTCCATGCACAGGTATTACACCTGGCGTCGACCCTGACAACTTGAAGCACTTTTTCGAGGAGATTCACAGGCTGACAAAAAGTTGAGTATCTGCTCCTGGTCACTTCCTGTCGTGACTTTCAGCTAGAACGCTGTTAGTCCATTTGACACACACAGATGAGTCCAGGAAGCTGGGAGGGTACAAGGCACAAGGTACATTCACACCAGTGCAATAAGTATATCGAGTCGATTTGGACCATTCCACTATAGGGGTCTGACATACTGAAAAGCAATTTAAACTTGACATAGAACCTTTTTAAATCTTCTGAATGATGAGGAAACAGTCACATATTGCTTTCGTCCTCTTTTGCCAAATCTGGCATCACCCAGCCCCTGTGATATATGCCGATCCGTTTTGCATCCGCTCTGGTCATGCTGCCGTGATAAGTACCAAGGCCAACTTTGAAACACACAGAATGTCTTTAAAATATCATATGCGCAACACCAACACCCAAAGCCAGGCAAATAAAATAGCAAAACCATACCAAACCGCAAATCCACGCTCCGCACTCATAGTCTCGTAAGTCTTAAGACAAAAACAGAATCTGAGAACTATTCCATCCTGAGGGATAGCATCAGACAGAAAAAATTTGCGCGTGACAGAACAAAGCAGTGGTGCCATTTCAAATGGTAATGCAACATGACACACGAAGCCTGTAGCAATAAAGCAGAGAACTCAATCCTATGGCCTTTTCCCAAAGAGCCAATTCTTACGTTTATTAGAAGTCGCATCAGGATCCGGACTCGGAACGGCGTCACGACTAGGAGCATCATCCGTCACAGCTTGGTCCCTGCTGATTTTACGGCCTAGTTCGCCCGAGTCCTCGTTTTCACGAAACACGTTGCCTGCACCACCACGGCCGGAATGCTGGGCACCGGAGCTGTATCGTCTTGGAACCCTGGCGAAAGAGGACATGTGTAAGCCGAAACGGTCGACGCTGGTCTGGATAGGGGCTCATCGTCTGCCGTCTACTTACGCTCCAACATCCTGTCTTCGCCGAGTCTCACGAGGGTCAGCATTTTTAGCCATATTTCCCGTGCCACCGCGACCCGTGGTGACGACTGGATTCTTTAGTACCGGTGTCTCGAGGTCTGATGGATGAAGTTTTGATGATTGGGAAGAGTCAACCATGTTGCCGGCGCCACCACGGCCGTGGGAGGACAGCTGGGGTGTCACTGGCGATCTGCTGGCTTCATTTTTCTGTGCCATGTTTTCGCTTCTTGTTGGAAAATTCTCGCAACCGCAGGAGGGCAAACTCGAGAGCGCGAGACGGTTGGCGTTTTGAAAACGATGATCCCTTAAGCTGTCAGGGCAGCGGGCAACTCTCCTCGCCACTTCGACACCTCGAGCTTAATCGCGCGGGTACAATGATAATAATAGGTTTCAAAAAGCGTCGAGATGACCAATAGACCGGTCAAGAGGTCTAACAAGGCAGGTCTGGCGACTGCAGGTCGGGTCAGGAACCGGATGGGGGCAGGGTTAGGGGAAGAATTAATATTCGACCAGGTGCCCGCTTCCTGGTGGTGCAAGTGGCTGCACACCAGTTAACGGTTCCAGGCCGTTTGGATGGAGGATGGCCTGCGCGTACTGCCTTCATCGGCTTGGTCTGGTGGTTCCTTGCGCCGACAAGGAGTCAGCCATTTGTCACAGCGTCCTTTAGGACTAGCGCTATGTTGCTTGTAAGTGAGCTCCTAACGTCAACTGACCGAGTCTGGTTGATCTTGACAACCCCCCTCCCCCATCAAGTTGCTCCCATTGCCTTGAACATGCAACTACGAGTATCCCTAGGTGGCCAATAAAATACAGTTGGAGACTACTCACCTATGTGAACTGTAAAATCCGAAGCCATGGAGCACGTGGTGATGCTGCTGTAGACCTAGGGATTTGGTATACGTGCTGTGGGCAAGACCTTAATTGGCATCACATTGGACCTCACCTATTGGGCATTCATATGATGGCTCCTTGCCCTGCGCACTGACGAATTACTAATGCTATAAGCCGAAGGAGATTCGATACTTCACATCCTCAAAAGTCTGTCTGTCTACCGACGCGTCCTAGAGCCATTGATCACCTTCGCTTGTTTTCATTGTGAATTATACCATCGGGAAGATACGATACATACCTACCTATGTAGGAAACGAGGATTACCTGTGGACTTGAGTTCCCGGGAGGTGGGCATATATATATATATTGCTTGGGAGCAGAGATGCTAGACGGTCCATAGACTGCCGTTAGGAAATTCCGTATGACGTATACTAACACACCGATCCATGGCATCGCAGGAAGCGTAGGCAAAATCTTTTTGATATTGTACCTGAAATCTGGTCGTAAAAAAGAAACTCACAGTGAAACGAATTAAACCAACACATTCCTTTTCCGAATAGCATAATATTATCTGGAAGCCTTCGTGCAACTTACAACTTACAATTCCACCGAATGAATAGCTAAGAATAAGCCGGTATTTTCCGCAACGTAGCATATTTCGTTCCTCACTCGTTCTCTGTCTATTCCCCTGGCATATTCGCCTCCCACATCTCTCCAAATGGACAGGAACACCTGCAAGAACTACCTACACACCAAATGAGGAGCTTGAGTTTGTCTCTCCGCATATATTTGTTTATCCAATTGTCTCCGCGAATAATGAGAGAAGACACTAGTCGCCGTAGTCGTCGTCGTCACCACCTTTGACATTCGAGTCCTTTCGAATTGGTATTTTAATTCCTTGAGTGGCAAATGTCTTGCTCAATGGCGTGCTTTCACACACACCGGGAAACTTCTTGGCCGAATATACATTGAACACGTCGCTAAAACAGCATGCCAAAATTGGGGCCCTGTTTTTGTTGATCTTTGGGGCACCAGAATCGCGAGGGGTGCCGTCTGGCGGCCCAACATTTACAAAAGAGAACCGCAAGCTGTGAAGGCAAAATTAAGTTAATGCGTTGACAAAGACTAAATCATCCATGGGTATTCGTACCGGAAGGGGCCTTCTGTCCGGACACTGAGATCTTGAAGAACAAACCATATTCCAATACGGTCATGAGTGTCGCTAAGACGGAATGCACTAGCTGCCAAGCTGCCGATCAGATTTCGAGTAAACATGCCTTGTGGCTGTCCGCCAACCATTGCCATCCTCGCCATAGGATTATGGTCTTGAACATAGCCCGTTGGGCCGGTAGAACCATTTCTAGTATACGGAGAAACATTCGACTGTGAAGGTAGAGGTGTGACATTCCCCTCAGGGCGGTATGATTGGTGATGAGGGAAATATTGCTGTGGTGGGCCATATGAGCCATTTGAAGGATAGGACGGCGCTGTAGACAAAAAGTTCAGATGTATCTACTTCTTCGTGGCTACCATTTTGCAGTCATAGGACACAAACGTATACGCACCTTGGCCGTATCCACCTTGTATCTGATAGTCCTGACCGTAACCGACAGTGGGAGGTGTATTGTACGATTGGTCGCGATTAGATGGAAGGACATGTTGAGTGTACGGGGCCATCCCGACATCACCTCCATTTAAGGTGGTATATGAGTAAGGTGTAGTCGATGAGATCGAAGGGCTGCCTGTGGAGGAGCGAACAAGGTTGACCTCTTTTGTGCCGTCTTCATTCCAGAGATCAACGTTGAGGACAAACATGGAGTGGTCGATGTCACTAACAAAAAGTGTAAGTTTGGCGAGATCACTAGAGGAGCTAGCTCACGGGAGGGGAGGCGCACTTGCAATCAATTTCTTTGCCAGTGGCAATATCTGTAATGATTAGACGGACACACGGAGGTGGAGTGATAGGACGTCGATCCTGAGTCTAGTTAGGGAGCCAACAAAAGACATAATGATGGCAAAATGGTGTCTTTACCTTATCGCCGAAACCGCACATTCGCGCTCGTCGGGGTTGTTGAACAACGTCGAGTCTGTGAGCTTGTATCAGTATCTCCCATCGGATGTAAGAATTAAACAAGATAAATCTAGTAATACGTACTGGTACTTGCGACCAGTCACATCGTCAATTTTCGAGAACGGGCTCAATATCTGCTGGGGATTCCCAAGAGGTTTCCCTGCGGGTGTTGAGGTTACACCACCAGCAGATGCTGGCTGTGTGTCATCTTGCCTGGAACGCGAAGGAGGTTGCATTTGTGACGGGGGAAGTTGGTGCTGGGAAAGCGGATGAGAAGGGTGCGACTGGACATGTTGAGAGAGTTGATGAGGTTGTGGGTTTGGATGCGAATGATGAGGGGGTTGACTTTGTGACTGGCTGCCAGGTCGTTGATGATGAACGTCGTGAGCACTGAGCTGTGAAGGACGAGGCTGCGATGGCGGTAGCTGTTGATGCTGCTGGTGGTTATGGTGACTGTGATAGCCATACATTGAATGGCCGGTGGTCTGGTGGCTTGAGGCAGCAGTTGAACCTGGCGGCGGGTACGAGCCGCCTGGAAGAGGTAACTGCTGCGACATGTCTGAGGGAGGAGGGTACGTCGACCCCATTTCGTCGGAGCCCGAGAGAGACTGTATACACAGAGCGCTGCAATATCGGGAAAAAGGATGGCGGAAACTATACAGCCTTTGTAGCCGTGCTCGCAATCGCGAGCTAGAGGTTTGCGATGTCACGGCGCAGCGCGGCAGTCGAGATATTGGTGGTGGTGTTGGGCGCGCGAGTGAGCTATTATCAGTCGAAGTTGCAGGGAATTTGCCGCTTTCATACTAGAGGCCGATCGGGCTCGACCTGGGTAGGTTAAATGAAAGAAAACCGAGACTTTTTTTTTTTGGGTCCCGTGTCGCGAAGGACTGCGACGGGAGGGCGACCTGCGTGGAAGGGAACGAAATGGAGGGTCTAGATATCATAAATGGCTTGATGTTGGGCAAATCTTGGACTGGTCGACACGTTGGGAACAAGACCCCTCAAGTGCCCACAGTACGACAGATTATTTCGAGGCAGACCAAGCCAGCCAACCAAACAGGGGGGACTGGAGTGACACCAGCGACCAGCCGCGGGCGAGATGGATCAATGATGCTTTTGCAACTTTGAATGTTGTGGAGAAGCGAGATCTGTACTAATGGTTCAAATGGTGGTTTCTGGAGCACTACGCCGGCGGCATAACCAGTCCAGTTCAATCAGTTGGCGTCCAGATGCTTGGAGGTGGCACTCGCCCAAAAGACGGAGCCGCCGAGCGTGTGCGCTTTCGATGTTGACCCAGCACTTTTGGCACACCAGACTGGGAAGATGTCAAGCATTTGACTGCTGAAGGCCTTGTGATGGCCGGATTTGAGACCTGGTCTACAGTGTGCTCTAGACTGGAGCTTCTTACTCGCTTACTGAGGGACCCTGACCAGTCGACGGTGCTTTCCAGCTTCCCAATCCAGAGGTAGCTGGCGCTTCTAACCGTGTCACGTTGAGGCCGTGTTGGGCTTCCGTTTGGCGGCCAGAGAGAGGTCTGGTCAGAACGTTGCTCATGTGGCGTCAAATAACTGCTGGTCCGTCTCCAGGTAGCAGTAGCGCGCCAAACCGATTGAGCCGTGAGCGGATGTCCCGTGAACGCCTAGGTTGTCAAAATCGACTGTGTAGGACATGTGCACAGGTTGGCCATCAAACCAATGAACACGCCATTGGCTTGCCCTCGATGGTTCCCTCGGACGATAAAAAATGCTTGCACTCCCTCCGGGCCTAGGCAATGACTAGGTTGGCAAGTACTAGCATCAATCATTATTACCCCAGTGCCATGTTGGTGCGCAGTACGGAGTAGCACTAATAGAACAAGAGCTCCGGAAGTGCGAGTGTGCATGTGGATCCGGAGCCAATTTACGGCAACAGTCATGCGGGCATTGATATTTGGAACATGAAAGATGGTGGCTGGAGGATTGAACTAGGGTTTTGGATTGGTTGTGGTGGTGGTGAGAACATGAGTTACATGACAAGGTAGTCGAGAGAGCAAGGATGATGATCACATGCATTGAATGGATGGTTCGTCAATAATAACTCATGGATTGGCTCCCAGGCGCATGAATAAACCATAACATAGCTACTTGCGGATATCGGAAGCAAAATCAATGCCCGCAACCAACTAAAGTCACTCACACTACATACCACTTAGGTAGCCCTGGAGGTCTGTGAGAGACGACGCAAAAGGTCAATCGCAAAGAGTCAATCACAAAGGGTCAACAACTGTGGATTCAGGTTGCTGGGGGCATGATTTAACCAAGGACACATGCTAGGACGCTAGCCAAGTACGTTCGAAGTCTCCAAGTTGGAGGGAGTTGCGGCCATTCTTGGTCCTCTACAGAAAACTTCGATCGTGTCGTCTGGTGTGTCGACGCAGCTGCAATTAAGGTAAAACTTGAACCTATCTACCCTCGAGCTGGTAGGATGAAACACTCTTCTGATGGGCAGGTGTTCCTTATTGGATGCCTACTGCGTATTGCTTAATACGTCTGCTAGTACTACCCGCGGGGGAACAAGGGAGACGGAGTCTCGAGACTTGTCCAAGAGGGATCAAAGCTGCCAGACTTGGTAGGTTCTATCTAGGTGGGCAATGGAACTATTGAATGTTTTATGTATATACTACATACATAGGTACGTAATGGTGATAGGTACGTACACTGCTAAAAGGCTTTGCCTTCATGATATCGCTGTTTCACTCGATAGTCATGTTCCATGCAGACTTTGTCATCAACGGCGTGCCTGATGTTGCATGTGGCATTTGGGCAGTCTGACTGCTCCATTTAGCCTCCTGCTGGTGTGGTGGACTGTGTCACGGAAGGGGGCGGGGGATGCTAATGCGCCAACACATCAGTCCTTTGCCCAATACGGAGTATTCACTGCCGAAATGTGTGTCGTGCTGACATTGTGTGTGTTGGTCGACGGATGAGGTCCAGTCATAATACCTGCCCCGCGTTCGGAACTCTCCTGGCTGCGGCAAAAGAAAAAACCGCTGCCCCTCCATGAGCTAGTGATTCCTCCAATTTCCGCTCATCAACAATCTTGCGCGACCTAGACTGGAGAGATTCCTTCTGCAACAGAATATGGATCTAGTCAACCAGTAAGTACGGACAGATCTACTTTCTAGCTGGTGCCGCCATGACTCTTTTCTTCTCTTTCCCAAACACCCACCATGCGGAGCTGCCTTTTCCGCGATACTGTCGCTGTATCAATCAGTCTTGCTGACCCGACCTTTTCTCAACCCAGCCTCGAGGGTCGCCTTTTGTTCGCGGTACCAAAGAGTGAGTGGTATTACACTTGAAATTTGTGTCGCTCACTAGCATAGTGGGTGAGAATCTTCAGTGGCTGACTTCCATGGATGTAGAGGGCCGGTTGAACCAAGCTGCGCTGAATTTGCTAGAAGGTGCCGATATCCAATTCCGCCGCGAAAACCGACTTGATATCGCTCTCGTCAAAAATCTGCCAATCGCACTCATATTCTTGCCCGCAGCGGACATTCCAACCTTTGTCGGCCAGGGCCGCGTTGACTTGGGCATCACAGGATGGGACCAGGTCAAAGAACATGATGCGTCTGTGCGTGCGGTGACGAGCAGCGGTGTGGACACAGACGAGACGCCAGACTGTGAGATGGTTATGGAGCTGGGATTCGGCGCATGCAAGCTCCAAGTACAAGTTCCAGAGAAGGGTGAATACGTCACCGGCCAAGACCTGATTGGTAAAACTATTGGTACAAGCTTCGTGCACCTGGCTGCCGAATATTTTGCTCGACTAGAAGCCAAAGGTGCTGGCGATGGCTCTTCACCCGGTCCTAGGCGAAAACCGCAGACGAAGATTGTTGAGCTGAGCGGCAGCGTTGAAGCCGCTTGTGCCTTGGGAGTCGCTGACGGAATTGTTGATCTTGTTGGTAAGTTTGAGCTGCAAAACGCCTAACCAATACCATCACCATCAAAATGTCTTGGTTGCTTTTGTGCTTATCCTTAGGACACGGGGTATCGTCCAATGACAGTGTTGACATGTGGCCTGTAGAATCCGGCGAAACCATGCGTGCTGCTGGCCTCAAGGCTATAGACACTGTTGTGGAATCGACTGCTGTGCTTGTCAAGTCTCGGTCCCCATCAAACGCGGACATGGTTGACCTGATTGCTTCGAGAATCCGAGGAGTCATTGCTGCTCAACGATACGTGTTGTGCCAGTACAATATCGAGAGATCGCGGCTTCCGGATGCTAGTAAAATAACCCCTGGTAAAAGAGCGCCTACAATCACCACTCTTGACGCTGAAGGATGGGTTGCAGTCAGCTCTATGGTGGAAAAGAAACGGATTGCTCTCGTAATGGACGACTTGACTCGGGTTGGCGCGCACGATATTCTCGTCCTCGATATCCACAACACGCGATGAGACTGTCGCTATCTGGACGGCAACGGTTGTCATTGAATCGTACTCCCTACTTCCTTTACAATCATTTTTCGCAATTGACTCAATAGATTAAGAACAGAGATAGGTGGCCTAGCTGCAGTCGTATTAAACCTGGTTTGGCAAGAGTTGGGGACCTAGTGCTGGAAAGACCCTGGGACGCTAAACTAGATAGATTCCTCTCCCATAATTCCGCAAGCTGGGACCGGGCGACCAGCTAATTGACGTATATGACCCGTAAACACTGCCTCTATGCCAAGAGTGATGATGGACACGCACATAAACAACACAAACTCTATAGGAGGCTGCTCGCTTCTCCAGGTCGGCAGTTATCTGATCCGCCGCCTTTTGTCATAATGAGAGGACGTAACAAGCAGGGCTTCCGGACGCACAACTGACACCCCGGCTCTGTTCATCCTGGGTCGAGTCCCTTTGTCACAGGAAAATGGTAGTTCTAATTGCGAGGATGCAAATAGTCACCCTGGTCGTAGCACCTGCGGTAGAACCTACGAGTTGCCAAACCAGAGGACCGAATTCAGCCACAATTCGTCCCATTTTGGGTTTCGCGCACCATAGGGTCAGCAAGCTCTTAACACGGCCCACAGGCTCGTCATGGTTTGTCGAGGTTGTTCGTCTTTCGCCACAACGGCGGATGATACGGAAGGGCGGTTGTTCCCAGCAAAGCGTTGCGTACTTAAGTAGGCATGTGAGGACGACACGGCAGCAAAGTTACGCCTGACCAGCTCTGAGGACCAGAGTACCATTACTTGTATCTTTCTTTCGGCATAGTCAGCCCTGATGACTTTGTTCGCCACTCAAATACACAGCTCACAGATGCGGTCTTGATCGGCATCTGCATCTTCTGGAGCTGCACATTGCAGTTGCAGTGCTTGCCTCGAGGGCAAGTCTTCATCAACCTTGTTTACTTCTCTCGGCTTACAGTATTACAACCTCTGCGATGTCAGATGGTGACTTGGTCCATGGGCGCAAGGTTGCGGAGTCTCGCCTCTCGTGGGGGACGTCTTCTGTATACACGGTATGGCTCGATTCTAGGATGATCCAATGTGGCCGTAGCCTGGAAATAATACCTTTGGCGTCTAACTAATGTACAGATTATTATGACTCCAATAAACTTTGTC